TATTTGTATTAACTAATGTAAACAAAGATTAATAAATACTGTAATAAATGTTCATTGTTTGTTCATGTTAGTTAACTCACCTAATTTTACACCTAATTGTAAAATGTTACCAATATTTTTTATTTGTGAACTGATGTTCAGCTGTTCGTCATAAAAGCTCTGTAAACACTGCCACAGACACGAAGATATATCTTTAATTTCATCACGCTGAATGCTCACTAAAAACTGACGTTTCCAGACCATTTCAAATTTTATTTTGACATGATACAAAGTAGTGGTATCTAAGCGGGAGAGTTGTTTACTTACTTTTGTAACGAATCAGCTCATGGGGAAATATGAATAATTAATCATAACTAGTTATAATTAATTATAAATATTTAGATCCGCTGTAGATATTTAGCTGACCTCTCAGGGTCAACTGTCTTGTCAATTCTAAGAACGTTCATTTCCTGGTTAAGGGAAATAACTTTCTTACTGTACAACTCTACACAGATAATAATAATAACAATAATAATAATAATAATAATAATAATAAAAACACTATTAAATGAAATAATTTATTTTCTGTATACAAAGTCAATAAAGATCTCAATTAGGATTACAAGGTTATTCAATTAAATTTTAATAGATACATTTTCAATTAATAAACATACAACTAGAAACATCCTAAATCTGAACTGAATTGAAAATATAGTGATAAAGACATGAACATATATCAAAATATTTCCCTACAAAAATATAGAAATACTGCACAAGTGTCACGAATCCGGTCTATAAACTTCCGTTCACTCACCACCAGAGGTCTCACACTACACTCCTTGCCTGTGTTTTTGACTGTTTATTAATAAAAGCTTGCACATGGATCTGCACGCCTCTCATCTCGTCAGCTCCGTAACAACAAGGACACAAATGAGTCTGTGAATCAATCATTTTTGAACAGACAAACTGTCACAATATTAAAAATATGTATGTGTGTGTGTGTGTATATATATATATATGTGTGTGTTATATATAAGTTAGTCGCTTCACTTCTTTACTTTAGATCCCTTTTAATTTTAGTTTAGTTTTTTTACTTTACAACTTTTTCATTTAATTAACTGCAACTAAAATTCATTACCATTTAATCAAGCATTTATGATAGTAAATACATAGGCTTAGCAATTTTTAAAATGGAAATCATAAATTATAAAAAGTAATAAATAACATATTAACCCATACTAAATATGGTTTATGCTTTAGTACTGTGTTGGGGCGTCACTTGACGTCCAGTTCGCAAACCAGTTGAGAACCACTACTTTAGCAGATGTCTTTTGGTGCAGCTCTTACTAATTCAATAGAAGCATTTCTACTATTTTTACTATGTGTTTCCAGATCCCTACTATCACTACCACTCGCATACCACGCATCACACACTGTAGGCAGCGCAATCCTAACAACCTGCGCACTTTGCCTATGCCTACTAATACACTACTTTCTTTTTCTATTGGTCTCTGGAATTGCCAGTCTGCTGTAAACAAAGCAGATGTTATTACTTCTATTACTCGTCATTCGAGACGAAACCTCATGGCCCTGACAGAGACCTGGATCAAACCAGAGGACAATGCTACACCTGCAGCACTCTCCAATAATTTCTCTTTTTCCCACTCCCCCCGTCTGACTGGCAGAGGTGGAGGTACTGGTCTTCTTATCCCTAATGATTGGAAATGTAATCCTTTACCATCTCCGAGTATCAACAGCTCCTTTGAATCACATTCAGCCACTATTACCCACCCTCTTAAAATCCATTTTATAGTTGTTTATCGACCCCCCAGGACCACTAGGTAACTTTGTGGAAGAATTATATGTGCTGCTCTCAAACTTTCATGAGGATGGTACTCCCCTAGTTATGCATGGAGACTTCAACATCCACCTAGATAAACCTCAGGCTGCAGACTTCCACACTTTTGATCTCAAGTGAGATCTCAAGCGAGTGTTAACTACGGCTACTCACAAATCAGCCAACCAACTGGACCTTATTTACACACGACACTGCTCCACTGATCATGTGCTGGTTACTCCACTGCACACCTCGGATCACTTCCTCCTCACTCTTAACCTCAACATAGTTCCTGACACAACACATACCCCTCCACATGTCACTTTTCGACGTAACCTACGTGCACTCTCACCCTCCCAGCTATCTGCTATGGTTTCATTTTCGCTGCCATCTCTTGATGTTAACAGTGCTACTGATACTTTCTGCTCCACTCTTACGTCTTGTTTAGACAGTGTCTGCCCCTTGTCTTCCAGGCCAGCTCGTACCACCTCTTCTGCCCCTTGGCTCATACTATCACAACAAAATCAACAATTCGCCTAACTCTTGTATGCTCTTTAAAAATTTTCCCTCCCTCCTTTGTCCTCCTCCTCCCCCTCCTTCATCAACGCTAACAGCTGACGACTTTGCCACATTCTTCATTAATAAAATTACAAACCTCAGTGCACAATTTGCCACACCACAAACTGTCAAACACATCTTACCAGCAAACATACACTCGTTTTCATCCTTCTCTCCACTCTCTTAGGCTAACCAAGACTTGTAATTTGCACTAACATATTGTTGCTCTTTTGTTAGTTTTGATTGCTTGTATTGTCCTCATTTGTAAGTCGCTTTGGATAAAAGCGTCTGCTAAATGACTAAATGTAAATGTAAATGTACTCGAACACACACCATGAGGGCCTTTCATGCACAGGGGGTCAAAACACGTCTCTCATCTCAGTGAGTTACATTTTCTCTCATTTCCTCTTAAAACTGAGATGCCTTGGTTGCTGTTCCATGGAACAGATGGTCTGCGAGTACATTATCTCTCCACAGAGACGTTAAGGAGAAAAAGACTTTCAATCTGTTGAAGTCTGGCTTTCTTTCAGACATTATCACCATTTTCTTGCATCAGCAGAATCCCCTACAAACACTTCTGTGGATTCCAGAAATATTACTTTACCGCTTGACTTTGCTGTCTTTGAGGTCCCAGTGTACACCAAAACCTAAACCAAACTTTGAAAATCTTATTATAATAAATGTATCTAATTATAATTCACCTCAACAGTGTACAAGACACCAGCATTCACCTATTTTTGGTCTATAAATTTAAATTTAAATCCAGCATTTCAGAGACACTGTTATGATGTGTGATCCTGGGTCTGTCTTGCATGTTTGCCACAGTTTATGTACTGATCGAATTATGATATAATGAGGCACTGCAATATATTTGTGACGTATGTTTCACAGTATAATGTGGTAGTTGTGATAGTCAGCTCTATTGTATAATGGCCACTCTGCCAGCTGTCATAACTGTTAAACATTATTGGAGACTGGACTCACGATATGGAGCATGATGTAGTCTCCTAGTCTGGGGGCGCTGTCAATGCGGACCAGAATCCCATCCTTGATGGTGGTGCTGAAGCCCACCGCCAATCTATCGGTTCTAGTGCTGGGCCTCTCGTTATTGGGCCATGTGTATGTGATAAGTCCTCCGCCCTTTCCAAAGATGTACGTTGCTCCAGCTGCAGGGAGGAATAGAGAAAGAATTACAATAATGAATGGTCAAAATGTCTTGGAAGGTATTAATTTAAATATAACCTGTTTGTACGTTTGTACAGGTGGAACATAAAATTGGATGTGTGTCAAAATATCAAATCTGTGCATTAATTATTGGGTAACACTTTATTTCGATAGTCCACTTTAGACATTCTATTAACAGTAAGTAACTTTGCAACTACATGTCAACTAGCATTTAGTAGAGTATTAGTAGACTGTCTGCTTAATATCTTCTCTTTCTTTGTCAACTTATTCTACTAACCCTAAACCTACCCTAACAGTCTACTCTGAGAGTTAGTAGACATGGAGTTGCAAATTAATGAGAATTAGTTGACATGTAGTTACAAAGTTACTTATAGTTAGTAGAATGTCTAAAGTGGACTATCGAAATAAAGTGTAACCAATTATTGCACTTTAACAGGCATTTCTGGCTGATGTTGGTAATATTTTCTGAAGTATAATATTAACAAGAAAAAAAAACTACTCTTGCCTGGATAATTTTAGTAGCTTTACTACAAATGAACATAAAGACAGTAAGACCTAAAGTAAAAGAGTGCAGCTAATTGATAAAGCTATTTGAAACCGGAAGCTTTTCAGTTCACTGTTCACTGTACGTCTGGCCTATTGGTTTTATTTGTCCTATTGCTTGTAATTTGCTTGTGTGTTCAATGGAATCTTAGCTGTTCTTGCTGTGTTGTTTTAAGAAATCATCTGAATTCAGTATTCCAGAATTTTATAAAACACATATGGCTAAATCCTCAGCTGCACAGATCACATGGTGGATTTAAGACCATTTTAGTATATGTCTCAAATGGTACCATGGTTTAGGATCGGGCTCTTGTTTTATCATTGTGATTCATGCAGAATTAATTACAAGTTGGTCTGAGATCACTGTGAAACCTCCAATGGGGGCGCTAAACAAGCACATATCTTTTTATGTTAGTTTTAGTGACCTAATTTTCATGGCAACTCTTAGACCTTGGCTGGAGTGTCCGGCCCTTGAGCTGAGCTGTGGGTTCAACGCTTGGCCCTCAAGACTCTTAAACGGGGTTCTATCCATGGAAAAGCTTGAAGTCGCCAAAAAAAGAAAAAAAAGACTAAAAATCCTCATACATTATACATGAATCTGTAACTAGCGAACAAAAGCAGACAGAGAAATAAAATCAAACAACCTTTTCCAAGTGCAATTTTACAAACACAAAAGGGCAAAGGAAATAAGCTGGACATTGGCTCCTCAGGAATAGGCTCATTATGCTTTCATATCACACCCATAGCAAAAGACAAAACTAGTGGCAAAACTCCAAAAAGTTCCTTTGAATCATAGTAATTACCGCTCTTAAATCAGAACCATTTACAAATATCTGGACAAGCATGTAATCAATCATGTCCAGGTCTCTGAATCTTTTGTAATCTATTCCAGGGATCATACTCTAGACATAATTATAGTTGTGTTCAACATAATGGACAGCAACATAAGCAGCTGCCTTTTAAAGTAGAATCCTAATAGTCACAGAACCTACAAGTAATCGATCTGGAAAGTTCTACATAAAATCTGTAAAGAAACCTATTAAAATTACCAGTACATTTTCTGTTAAAATTACGGACAATACCTGCAACACTAAAACACAACACAATGCATAATTTAAAATACATGTAAAACAACTGTAAAAAAAATCAATACATTAAATTCTATGTATTGATTTTATATTAACAGTAACGTGAGTATTTTAGGGACTTTTGCGTGAACTTCACACAATCACTCAATTTGTTTTTATTTATTTTATTTTATTTTATTTTTAATTTATTTTATACACTCTACTAATCATAGTTGTAGATGAGCCATACAATTTGGGTAAAATAATTAAATTATTTAAACTATGTTTACAGTTTTTTTTTTTTCTGTATTGTTTTATATTCCACATTTCTTCATATAAGTGATTCTGGCTTAAAATATAGACTAATAAGATACCTTGCATTCATGAAATAATTTCATAAATCTTATATTAGACTATTACCACATGTTTAGGCGAGTTCTCGTTCGCGTTTCTTTGAGCAAATGCACACAAAATTATGTCAAAAAGCATGTCTCCATGTAAACATTTCATTTATGAATGTAAACACTTAAGAAAATATGTGACAACATCCTCTTGTAATTTGTTTATTTGTTCTTATTTTATTATTGACTGATTTGCTTTTGTTTGCTAATGTTTGAACTTTACATTACTTAGGCTAGTATTAGTTTTTGCTGTGACTGTAAATTGGAATTGAGAATTGTGAAATTTTACTTGTATTTAAAATGTTGGTATTGTTAAGTCACATAGGTCAAAAACGAAGCAAAACTTTATTTATTTATTTGAATAAACACCACTGTCTATGAAATGATAACACACTTCAGCCTTTAAAGCATTTGTTAACAAAAGGGATGAGTTAAAATCATCCCAGGAGACAGAGAGACATATGGGAGTGAGATGAAAGAGAATGTATCACATCGCATACATATAAGACCTGTGCTGGGTCAACCTAACTTGTCCCGAACTAATATGTCTATGCTAGGTCAACACTCTGTTTTATTAGATAGATTACACGCTTGAGGCACAGAGTAAAATCCTGACCTTCGGGAAACTATACCACAGGATCTAACTCAGAATTCTTCTATGTCTCCAATCATAGTTCTCGTGAGGACGGACACGGATCTGAGCTCAGTCTTCAGGGAGTTGTCCTCATATACCATGCCTTCTCTGTGCTGTGGGATGCCATGAAATACTGCATCCACACTGCACTCCAGGGACCCAATTATCCCACTCAGTGGATTTGCTAAGTAACAAGAGACACCATTCAGTCAACACTACGTTTCTAATGGACCCTGCACGGGTAGGCTTAGCAAATGCCTGACACACAAAAAAAGCTATTTACCAAATTTAATCGCATCAGGGCTTTAAGCGACTGCACACGTCCATTTAAATGCTGCCGAATTGGCAGGTAGACTGAGAGTTACTTGCAGTGTTGATAGAGTGAGGGAGTGTCTTGCATTTAGCCATTGGTGTTAAGAAAAAGGGCTAAAAGAAGTGAGATTGTAATTATGCCACAAATGGACTGTTTTTAATGAATACTGAAAGCTTTTGAAAGTCTGGTGTTTTATGTATGAATTCATTATGGGCAAATTGCATCTTCTGGAGCAATACGTACGTTTGTGTCTTCTTAATGGAATTTCAGGCTGGTGAAAACTTCATTAAAAAACTTCATTACAGAAATGCGTTGATAAAGGGTGATGCGTGGCATTCATTTTCAATTTAATATACTAACACAAATTAGTGTGTACACTAAGTGTGTGTGTGTGTGTGTGTGTGTGTGTTTAACAATGTATTTGTTTGACGCATAAAGGTAACTATGAACATGATGTTAAGAAACACATTGGACTAAATATTGCTTTCACTGGGCACTGCATGTACGCTTTTTAACATTTTGCATAATTCATTTAAAATGACTGTAGTTACGGTCTTAAGCAAAATAAGATCTGCTATAATTTTGCTGTCTGGTACAACATTAGTAGATTATCAAATATTAATTTTATTGTAAAGCAAAACAGATACTCTTGGACTTGTTAAAAAGGTGACTGAAAAAACAGTAATAACACAGTAATTGATGACACAGCCCCAGTCCCAAATGGTTCACTTAATACGGTCTTGTGGCCTTCACGAGTGCTCTCTGTGGCTGCTATTCACCACCGAAGCACCATTATGCCTAGCCTGCACTGGTGCAGACTATATAGTGGACTATTACCCAAAAGTCCATGTGGGCTGAAAATGCCATTTGGGACAAGGCCTTAATTAATGCGCAAACTACAACCAACCAACCAACTGGTTGGCACCAGACAGAGAAACTGTTGAAAAATGTAGGCTTCTCTGGATGTCAGAACATGACATGGACAGATGACATAAAATGGCCAGTCAACACTGTCAGTCATGATTAAAAATGATAAAACTGCTGGTGTGCACAATCTGCCTGGATTTTACTAAAAATTTCACTGTGGTCATATACTACAATATGACTTAAAATAATTTTAAAAGATGGCAAAAATACGTGCCCAAAGACCCAGAGTGAGAGCATACACTTGGTACAAGCCGTGATTTTAAATTCTAAAGTGGTATCTCATGAGCTTTCAACCATGCAATATGTCGGAGGTGCAGAAAACATGTTCCATGTAGTTCAACACAGAACCACGGACATGAAAACACAAGAGTACAAGAAAAACAGAGCAAATACACTCTGTCTCCAAAGCATGGATGTATTTGCTTCTAGTCCAGTATCAAGATCCAAACAATGGCTGCCCCGCTCAGTGGGCTCTGGGCACAAAAGCTTCAGTCTTGAGCCAAGTTGTTGCTGGAGAGTGGTTCAGGAGAGGAGTTTTTATGTGTAGGTCTTTCCGACACTGACCTATTTGTAATCACTCTTTGTAATCTTGTAATCACAGTTCTTACAACTGTGTGGCCAACAGCCAGGCCATAATTGAAATCAGACAGAGACAACACAGTGGTACAAGTGAAGTGCAAACGAGTATTTGAAAAATGAGGTGGTTTCCAGATAAAAGCTTGTCAAACACATTTTTCCTTACTCTATCTAATGAACAAAAATAACAGAGTAATATTTTATATTATATATTTTAAGGGAAAAAATTAGCCTAAAGGTAAATATTTGAATTAATTATGTTCAACTATAAGTATTGGGATCAATTAACTTATTTAGGGAATTCTTCACTGAATTCAGTATTTGAAATTCAGCAGATCAACAGCCTAATCAAACCATCAGATTGATTTTAACACACTTTTGCCACAGCCTGGCAAAAACTCCGTGAAGGACTTATTCCAGCATCATCATCTTCATTTCAGAAATTGTAATTGTATACTTTCTGTTCATAGACAGTGGTCTTTAAACTGTGAGGATGTCAAACCCTCAGCAGGTGAGCGAG